ATCCCCATCCATGTTATTTCGAGAAAGCGACTCCGGATAGTGTCAATCGGTTTTCGTCTTTTCTCGTTTCCTGCAAAGCTAGCGGTTATATCCGTGTAGTACTTTTACTTCAAATTTATTATTTTTATTACATTTTCACTATCATTTATCGATACATTTATTCCTTGCAACTAAAATCGTTATCTTTGTTTTTATTGAGTATATTTTATTTTCTCGAAACCATAGCATTTCCGGAACTGCAATTTTCGGTCTCCCCCCCCCCTCTCTCTCTCTCCTCCTGCCTTTTCCTCCCTTCTTTCTCTCTCGGTTGCAAATGTCAGAATGCAACACAAATCAAAGTACGAGTAAAAATGGATAAAAGACAGTTACCCGCTAAACTATACGATGTAGTAGAAATGTCGCACACGGTTCTCCACACTTTAGAAAAGTATAGATTATCTTAAGTGCTGTTGTACTGATTACAATCCACCATTCGTTACGATTGCTTTTAGACTGACCAATTTCCCCAATCAGTTCGATAGTATCGTTTTTACATTCTTAACGCGCTTACTGTCACATTGGTTTGGATTCCTTACGAGATTCTTTGCCTAAGACAGTCCGTCGATATGTCGCGTCGACCTCTTGGAGCGTGGAGGAGGGCGATTTGAGATGCGGCGCGATAACCGGCTCGGGTGGCGTTTACTGGGCGTAGCGAGAAAGAGAGAAGGCCGGGCCTTCTCCCGGGCCACTCGTTGCTCAGGACGCTACGGAGATTTTATAGAAGCGTAGCACACCCCAGCGCGGCATTGTACGCACCGCTCGACGTCATAATGATTATAATTGCCTTTGCTATCTTTAATGTCCTGGAAGCGGGTAATGGTAGCAACTATTATGGCTGCTCGTATAACCCGCCGCCAATCTTGATATCCCCCACTTAAGATTCGCCGTTTCCAACGTCCACCGGATATCTTCCCACTTATCGCCGGCGAATCGAGCCCGTTTCGATTTTTGTTCTCATCGAGAGCGTTTACGCTGCCCGTTGGAGCTATTCATTGCCAACTTACGAGCGTCTTATATACTTTTATATTAATATTAACCTTCTTTGATTGCGCACGTATATATGGGCCTAAAACACTTTATGTCCGAAAAACTGGCATAAGATAAAATTTCTTGTCGTCATAATTGCATCACACCACATTCGCGCGCTTTAACGATCTCTCGAATCCTTTGAAAGAGTAAATACGATCGGAGGAAACGGGCGATAAAATTTTTATATCGCCTCGCGCGTTCATCGTCGAAGCGAAACCCGCCGCGGAATTTGCACGGTCGGCCGAGTTGGCGTGGAGGAATTGTTTAATAATCAGACCACTTAAAAGACTCCTTCCTCCCCTCCAAAGCATATGTACATTTTTATATTTTCGAATATTCTCACATTTCGCGAGATCTCTTAATTTATTCCATAATATATCGCAATGCAGGCAATGTTACATGTGAATTTTAAATTGATGCGAATAGATATTATAGTTCCATTGCAATTCTAATGCAGGAGTCGGCTATTAAATTTTAAAAAAGTCAGCATTATTACTAGCGTGACGAGAGTGCCGTGCATAGACATAATATATCTAGACCGAGCGTTTGCCTTTATTTGAGCAGTGGGGGGTAGAGGTTGTCCTTTCCTACGTGAACCTCTACCCCCACTGTTCAATGCTCGGTCTGGATATATTATGTCTATGGTGCTGTATGTCCTCGCACGATGTCGTTTCTTCATGGCTGTTATCCCTACGCTATTATTCGGTATCTCGATCTCAAAACTCGAAAGGAAAAATCGGAGCCGCATTACGTAAGGTCGCGTCCGCTTCCGTTTCGCTCGAGACGCACCCTTAAAACGGTTTACGGCCGGAAGTCGATCCCTTGTGTTCGCGGGGGCGGATGCGACGCGACGATTTATCGCCCGCGCGAAGCTTTTCAAAGTACATGGATCTACGACCAATTACATAATTAAGATAATAAGTCGGTCGCGTACGTCCAGACTTGACGTGTTCTCTCTCTCTCTCTCTCGCCCCCTCTCACCCTTCTTCGAGTGGGGCTTGGCGGGCCGTATGGAAATTTGACATCATCATTGTCCGTCTCGCGGGAGCGTGAGATGTGTTCTTAAAAATATCGCGATATTGTATGTATGTATATAACATAGAGGAGATTTTTATTTGCGGTAACAATGCACAGTATGACTTTGGTGAATACCTGTTTCTATTTATTGCTACACTCGACGCTACGAGTACAAAGTTATCTACGTTCCTTATTCTCTAACCGGAAGAGAGCGAACTATCTCAATCTCTGACACGGTGAAAAAAAGTCGCGCATCGATAATCGTTGCTCGTAAAGCTAGCGACGTGTGCCGCGCCAAGTGCCTGTGAGAGAGCTCTTCTCGCTCTCCACATTCGTCTTCTCTATCGCGTTTCGCGTCTCGAGGTCGTAAAATTCATCGCGCGATGGTCAAGAGGCCAGAACGAAGAAGAGTTAGAAATCGGTTCGACGATCTTTACGTCGTCTCCGAGGAGCGCAAAATCGTGACACGTTTGCGGTAAATGTCCCACTTCCTTTCAACCGTATTTAATATTTAACGAAGCACTCTTCGGTGAGCTTAAAGTCAAATTTGCAAACTGACCATCATTTGTCGCGGCTCGCAATCAGCAAAATAAAATCGCAAACGTCTCGTGGCTGACTTACGTAACGGACGAGTTGACAGTCTTGACAATGCGCCAAGAGGGAATGATTGAAATTGGATGATTAAAATTTTCAAGGAATCGTTCTGTTCATCGAACGCGATCATTACCGGACATTCTTACGGGACGCACCGTGCGTATACACCTCGGTCGCTATAATCACGGCATCGTCGAGTCCGTTAACGTTACTAAGCACGCGTACATCGATCATCAGCAAAGTTGGCTCTCCCCGTGGTTGCCCGGGACGAAAGTCGTCCGATCAACCGGCGGTCGTATCAGGAATTATTATTCACCGGCCGTCAGTGGATGAGAGAAGGAGAGGGCGGGGCTGCGGCGCATGCATCATCGAGAGCAAATTCCGTAGCCCCGTCTTTATTTTACCACGGTAGTGAGGTACACACGGGCGGCACGTAGGATACCAGCGAGCAAAGAAGATAGAGAGAGAGGGAGGGAGAGAGAGAGAGAGAGAGCGAGCTGCTCTTCTCCCCTGATCCTCACGTGGCCGCCGTCAGTCCGCTTAACTGTAGATCAATCAATATACCTCGCTTGAACCCTCAGCCTCTATGCTCCGTCCCCACCTCCCTTGCCTTTTACTTGATCCTCTCCCTCCGGCTGCCCCTAACGAGCTCATCGCTCGTGTAGCCAAAGAAAAAACACGAGAAAGTGGTACAAAATGGCCCTTGAGAAATGCTGTCCGTCCATCCGTTCGTTTCTTCGTTCCTTCGTTCCCGCGATACGCCCGTTGCTCGGTCTCATCAGGGGTAGTGGACGAGATCGACCGAGCGAGCGAGGGCGAAGGGGTTGTCGTGGAAATTGAACGAGGCGTATGTATGAATAAATTTCTCTCTTTCTTTTATATCGATTAACTTCGATTAACGATCTACTGCACGTGGTGGCGATTGCCAGGCACCTGCCACTGCGCGCTGCGAAACCGCCCGTTCTACACAGCTGTACGCGCGTCGTGCGTGCACATATTTCGTTTTGTCGCCATACATCTCGTGCGCGCAGCATTTTTTCCCGTGACAGGCGTCGACATTTACGTCTTCACATGGGCGTTGCGGTTTAACGTATTACTTAACATTTCTACATCGCATCGAACAAGCATCGCGCCACTCTCATTCATTATTCGTTGCTACTAAAATGCGAAAACCGCGCGGGACAGAATTTGGATGGTCGGCTCGATTAGAGTTAATTAGCCTTAACTCATTAAAATGAACACTCGATTGATTTAACGAGAGATGTAGGAGAGCTTCGACACCGACAACGAGACGTGAGGAAACTTTGTGCACTCGGGCGAACGTGTATCGAGCGCCGACTAAAGTTGGAGCGCGTAATATATCGCGCAATTGCTTTCGTCTTATTGTTACTTTCATAATCCGCGGGCAGTCTAGGCGGAAAACTAGATGGGATAGACGGTGAGCGTGAGGCAGCGTATTAATTATCATTCGCCCTTGGGGAGAGATAGTGTTGCGAAACACCGCGCGATTAGTTGAATGAAATTTATCGTCGCGGCAAACGTGCGAGCCGAGCCAAGTTGCGTTGAATTGCGACGAGCGGAAAGAGTCGGAAGAGGAAAAGGAACAAGCCCGTATAGTTGCTTGTCGAATGAGCGTTTAAGGGATGTAGAAAGCGCCAGAGAAAAAGAGGACGAGGAGAGACACTAGGAGAAGAGAAAGCGAGGGTGTACGGGGCTCATATTATAAAAGCAATTAGGAGGTCTCAGATTAGATATAGCACATCGTACATAACAAATATGATAATACGGGCCGCCAGCCCGAAGGGGGTTTGGCTTTCGTACGGTCGGCGAGGGTTTCGGGTTATGAGGCAGGTTAAACGGAATCATTAATAATCGGAGCTAACTAATCTGCCTGTCGCTATGAGCACACTTGTTTCACTCCTGTTTTTATTACCACGCCGCGAGGTAACGTTTTATTCTCCCGATCGGGACGAGGAGGGCACTGCGAGGGGGGAATAGTATTTGCGCGATTATAAATGCGCGCGCGCGGCGTAAAAACGCTGATCGTTGGTTAATCACCTCGAATTGTACTAGCCGTACAACTGGCAAAGCGATCCTGTCGCGTATGCACCTTAATTATAATTTAATTTGATAGTCCGCCGCGCGTGGAACGGAGACGTATTCATCATCGCGCGCAAGATGTCCCGTCGTTACACGCGCGGCGATATCGCACGGCCCGTTAAGCGTTAACGCGTTAGTGCCAAGACACACGTCCGAATGTATTATTTGTCTTGCGCGTTTGCGACGGGAGATTTATCTGCTTTTATTGCTTTCTGTTTCAGTTGTACGAGCTGGACGAAAGCGTCGAACGAAAGGCGTTCCTCGACGAACTCTTCAGTTTCATGCAGAGTAGAGGTGAGTCTATCAACGGAATAATAATTACCCCGATGTATTCGATCTCACGTGAAAATAATGCACGATGCTCGGTAAAATGCCTGTGAAAAAGTCAACCAGGTAAACGGGACGGAGCTGATGTTAAAAATATCGGTCGCGTTTACGCAAGGACGACTCTTCCGCCGATGAAAAGTTTCCCGACGAGTCTCCGTGCGAAATTCTTTACGTTACCTGCCAACTTGACGGAGACGAGAATACACCGCGAATATTTTGTAGGCTCAAAAGTAAGAAGGTGCGCCCGCCGCTTACACATTCGTTAGGTATCTACAACTTATATTTAACTCACACTTATAAACCGATATATACGCCCTGTCGCGATCACGCGCTACCGTTTCGCATCGTCAGGACACGTCGCGGTGCCCGGGACTCGATTGATAGAGAGAAGCCTGAAAGAGTAGGCGACACTAGTCACGCGGAGACTTCTTTTTCTCTTCAAAGAAGACTCGGTCCGCAAATTTGTTTAGATCCGCCGTTTGAATTCGTCGACCGTTGAGAAAGATACGCACATGCGTGACTACCGCGACCCGCATCTCGTTTCCTGCACACGTGGATTTTCGTAGCCGGTACGTCCGACCGCGTCGTAAACGTCCACGTGGTTAAAAGGTTCGATAACACGTTGCATCTGCTCGGCACCGAAAGCACCGAAATTAGAATCGACGAGCGAGGCGGAACGGCGGCCGTGAAATCGCGCATTTTCTCACGGGCGCTTCCGCGCGATAGCGTACGCGCGTCTTTCACACGCGCGACAGACGAGAGTTCGAACGATTTGAGATCACGTAGTTTAGCGCAGCCGCTCAATCGCCTCGTGCTCACGCGCTATTCTACGTGGGCGCGACGCCCGGTGAAACTCTTCGACGGCCACAGAAAGGAGATTGATCCGCGGCGAATCGCGGACCCTGAGCGCTAGACGGTGAACCGGAAACGTCGGGCTCTAATTATAAACATGGCGACTCGTCCATCAATCAAGCCACTGATGCGTCAGTGCTTCTGTTCTTTCGCCCCCCCCCCCCTCCGTCGTTTCTCTACGAAGTTTGTGACGCAACTTTGAGTCTGAGACGATGCTATTATTATGCCTACCCCCCTAGCGATAATTAGAGTAGATTGGATCAACATATCTGTCTCTTTCCTGCAGTCGTCCCGCCGTGGAGCGGCAGTATTTTACGAACGGTAATTTGGTGTACGATAAAGAGCTGCTAAGGTGCTAAATGATCGTTCGGGAAGTGATAACGTCCGGCACTGACAGGCTCTTACGTAACGCGTATCAACTGATGAATCTCAGTTGCGTCGTTGGATTCGAAAAGTGTCGATGTTCAATATGGAAATTTCAAGGGGTAGCGAGACAAGACGAATTGTACGAACGGGCGAGAGTAAACGGTGGTCGATCGAGGGGGAGGAGGAGGAGGGGGGGTGAGAGATATCACGATGATGCGCGACCGTAAAGCAACGAATAGCGTCGTTTATTTTGCGGGTTATTATACTTCATGAATGGTAATAACGAGTCGACGATCATAAATCCTCGAGGAGATCAATGCCGATTGATCTTTCGATTCGCCCGTAACGCGGTTCGATTAAAATCGCGGCGGAGGAAGAGGAGGGGGGGGAAAAAAAGGAAGGAAGAGGGAAAGAGGTATCGGAGCGGGCGCGTATCTCGATGTCTCGCGGGTAAAAGCTCGAACGTGGGCAAGGGACCCGGCTGGGTCCCGGGACCGGGCCCTCCCGCGGGCTGCGTTATTGTGCCGACGCGCGGCTGCCCCACGCACGCAATAATTCAACACTAACGTAACGCATAACACCTTACTACGTCCGTAGATATAAAAGACCATTCATCATATTCGGGTATATTAGTCCAGCCACCACCAATTTGTGTTTGCTATCATCGCGCTCCGACTAGACGCTCGGCTTTTTAGATGTACAAATGCGCGGACAAATTAGCCGATTATCGCCTCTGACGGCGGTAGTTCCGTACTTTCTTCCACTCCGGGAGAAAAAAAAGGACAGTTGGCAACCCATTTTCGAGCCCGCAATTAGTAATGGAATTATTTGGATTGTTCGAAACGCTCGAATCTTTTACGAATTTTACCCCGCGCAACTAAAAATCAGCTATTCTATTTGTATCCAAGATTTTTAAGTAATACTAATCAATTCTCTCAATTAGTTCTGTCGATATTCAGTAACGCAAAGATAATTTTCACTTAAGGGGCACTAAGCGAAAAGTTAAGTTGCCTAACTACAAAAGCAGCGGTCAAAATTCTTCCCAAAATGGGTTGCTAACTGTCTTTTTTTCCCGGAGCGCAGAAACTTTGCGGAAAAAATGGCATTTTGCGTCACGTATTCTTTGTATCGAGATGTTTCTTGGGGGAATTTTATCAGCAAAAACCGTAATAACAAAATAACAGTAAGGTGCACACAGAAAAATATTATTGTACAGCCAAGAGAAGTAATTACTCAGTTTATTTTATTCCGTTTAAGCAATAGTTTGCTTCAACAAGGAATATTTTCTTAATAATAGTTTTAAGATATACTTGTTACTAGCCTTAGAAAAGCTTGCCATCTTACACTCAAAGAGAGAATTTATTCTTCTTTGAAGAAAATTATAAAACTTACTGAAGAATTCCGTATGCTCCTTTTAATATAATAAAATCAGAAGAAACAAAATTGTTTTGCTTCAAATAATTCTATGTATTCTTGTTTCAAGTACTAGACTTACTAAGAGCCAGAATATGTTTTGAGTAAATATAACACTTGCGACGACATTACGATAGATTTGCGGATATATAAACTTATGAAATACTTGAAACAAATAATATTTACTTGCAGGTAGTATATATTTTTCTGTGTGTGGAGTGGGGTAAAACCGACCCAGAAATTATAAAGTTTACTTTAAACTGATGTATTTTCTATCTATTCCACTAAAACCTAATAATCTTAGTGTTTTTATTTAGCGCATGGTTTATTCTTTAAGTTGCATTAATTTGGATTAAAAATAACTTCTGAAACTTATGATTTTCTTAATAAATTAACAACAGTGCTGCTAGGGCGGACTTGCCCCGGAACTGGGGCAAAACCGCACCTACCTGTTTAAAAATCATTGAATATAATATAATATTTATAATATAATATAATATAATATTTTATTACTATAAAGGAAACTTACCTTACTATACTTTGTGCCTATCGAAGATAAACACATAGATTTGTAAACTATTGCTTAAATTATCGTTTTATAATGTTTAACTCAATCTTTGCTCTGCACCTGGAAACACCATGAACTTCCTCGAACGAGTTAAACGGGGGAATCACAGAATACATGGCGACTACCTATGTTGATCATTGAATACTAACCAAAGGAAGATTTCTACCTTACAGTTGGTACAATTCAACGTATATTCGAATAAATAAAGGCCTAGTGCGGATTTGCCCCGTGTACGGATTTACCCCACTGCACCTTATATATAAAATTATTTATGCACATATACGTGTAACAGTTCGTTATTCTACATACATTTAATAATAAGGCAAGTGCTTTGGCCGATTAATCGAGAAGGCGAAATCATTTGTCACCACGAAGACAAATGGATTTCTTCACAATTTGAGCTGCCGCAAAATGTCGTCGCGTAGTTTTAAAAATAAAGTTGTTAAATAAGTCGACACTTTGTAGCGCTTTTCAGCAGAACGAACGCAGCGCTCTACTTTGTTATATCTTTTTCTACGCTATCCAACGATACTTTTCCATCGCTCCTTGTAGATAACGCACACAATGATGTGCGATCATTAATCGATAACACGTACGACATTTCGCGTAGTAATAGACAGAGGCTCCAGAAGTCGTCAACTTTACAAAGGTAATTTAGGTCTCATCTAATTGATAGGATAATTATATTTCTTCTGTTGTGTACGTGTGTATGTATGCGCATGACAAAAATGATATTATATGAGGGATAAAGGAGAGCACATAAAAGAGGCCGTGCGGAATTTTATATTAGCGTCGTATTTATTTTATACTTTGTATAACGCGGGAACTTCTTTTCGGGGAACTTATCTTTTAATGCCCTTTAAATCCGACGCGGTAATAGATATTACTAAGGTCGTTTCGCAACAAAGTGTCCCACCCGTTTCGAACCCGCCGCGACGAGGTATTCGTATATCAAAAGCGCCGACGAGGCACGCGGAACGCACAAATTCGCGCAAGCGGGACATAATTTACTTCGATATTGCCGCCGAATAGCGACGAGAACCGGTTACCGGAGAGACTGTGTAACCCCAGAAAACTCTTCTGACGGGTCGCCGCGCAGATTATTCAATCAAACTTGCGACGAACGTGAGATTAATAAGCGGCGGGAGCGATAACGCGCGTGCAAATTGCGATTCAAATAGATTAATTAATTATACGTTACGTTAATTACTTGTACAATAGTTTTGGGATCGTACTTTCCGCGTGTGCGGATGAATTCTTAACTGCGTGTTAATATTTTAGGGGGTGAATTTAGAGTCCGACAAGAAAAAAAAGTATTACACAAACGTGGATCGGTCTCGACTTCATTTTTCAAGGTGTACAGTTTATACAATATAGTAAGATCCCTCCTTCCCATGTCTGTGTAAAAATATAGGGTGTTTCCAAACTTACGGAGGGTACTGTAAGTTTAAAGTTAAGCGACGCTGGTGAAACCGGGCCTACGGCCTGTGTCCACGACGGGAAGGAGGGATCCTGGATATCAGGTCGCGTTAAAATCCTTTTCTTTCCCTCCCCCCGTCGCTGCTTCCTTCGCGGCTGGCATACGCGAAATCCACGTCTACTCGCGCGAAAGCTCAACTTTGCGCGCTACGATTCGCGCGGGGAACATATTTATTTATCGCATATATTGCTGACTCCGCTCGAAAGACCGACCGTTATAAATCCCAACCCATTTAATATGCAAATCTCGACACCTCCGACAGCCCGAGGTCTGCGCATTTGCTTCCTT